CGAGGGGGGTTCGGGTGGCTTTTTTCCTCGAGGCTGGCCCCGCCGTGAAGCGGAGGAATGTGGGGCTGGATTTGGGCGAGCGGGCGCGCGTGTGGCAATGCCCCCCTCGCCCGCTCCAGCCGCGGATCGGTGCCCTCGCGTGCCGCCCCACCACCCACCAGGCGTCCCGCCCGCCGCGGCGTCTCGCGCTCCCAGTCCGGCTTTTTCTTCTTTTTTCTTTTGGAGGGGCGGGGGTACTCCGCGCCGTTTGCTTCGCTGGATCGAGACCCTTCCGTTGCCGAAGTCTGAGGCGGGAGGTCGCCCCAGAGCACCCGTTGCCTCGTAAGGGACAGCCTGCCCCCCTCCCTCCGCCCCGATGCGCAGGAGAGCTTCCCCACCTTCCGCCCTCGCGGCTTTAACCTTGGGGTGCTCTTCTTCCCCACCGGTGTGTCCCCTCCCTCTGTCGCTCCTCCCGCCTCCCGGTGGCCCATTATGATGGTGACATAAGAATGGCCTCTTTGGATCGGGCCCAGAGCCAGCCCTGGTGCCGGCATTCCGTTTCCAGGAGCTGCGGGGCAGGTGTCCTNTCTGGGGGAGGGGGCACCGGGGACTGATGGCCAAGTCTCCCCAGGGAGAAGGTCCCTCAGTCAGTCACCTGCAGCCACTGCCTCAGCCCGCCAGTCAGGGCAGAACTGAGGCAGGGTCTGACTGAGGCCATCCCCGTGTTCCCCAAGGGAATGTTCTGCCCCGTCCAGGCTTTACCAGAGCGGAAGCATGGGATCTGTTCCCCCTTGGGACCTGCCACAGACCCCCTTCTGCTGATGTTACCAGTCTTGCTGGCCAGCATACCTGCCTGTTCCCTGCACCCCTTCCCCTTGCCACCCAGCATCCTCACTTCACAAGAACAAAAGGGCACAGGCCTTTGGGACACAGGTGACAGGTGGCCCTCTGGACCCAGAGGCTGATTTGGACCCAGGCCCTTCCCAGCTCAGGCTGGTTGCCACCACCCCTGCCAGCAAGCCCAGGACCCAGCTTCCTAGGGCAGAGTGGCCAGCGGCTACCTTTCTCCTACAGTTCACTCTCCCTCGAGGCTAATTCTTTTTCTTTCCCCGCAGAAGCTCCTCTCTGCAAAAACCTGTGTGGTGGGCTGGATGAGACCCCTCTGAGACCTGTCCTGGAACAAAATGGTGCTTGACTCGGGTTCAGCATCCTACCGACAGCCGCCAGACCCAGATGTTTTTGGGGCAGAGCTGCAACAGCAGAGGCGAGGTGGTAAGAAGGGCAGCTCCCCTCCGCCATATAACGGCTTGCGGATCTATCCCTTCTTGTCGCCTTCCCTTTCTCTGGAGTCAGATTCTTCTGGCTCAACCCCAAGGACCAAGCTGCCACCCAAATCCAAGTGCCTCCGCAGCCGCCCGGTTCCCCCACCTTTGGGTGTCTGCCCCACCTTCCAGAACCCCTGTAGTTGGATGCGCCGGAGCGAGAGCATCTGTGCCATAAACCAGCGAGATCGGGCAAGGGGTCAAATCCGCAGCACCACATCCCTACCTCACATCCCCAAAGCTGGAGCAGAGACGAGCGCCAGGGGTGGGAGAAAAAGCCCTTGTTTGCTCGTGGCTCTGCGGCCGATGAATGTGGAGGAGGAGAGAGCCAGATTCTTCCAGTCCTCTTATACCTATAACCCTCAGTTTGAATATGAGGAGCCTCTCCCTGAAACCGTGCTGGAGAAATACAAAGGTGCTTCTGGGCAGTTTATTTCACAGGTAAAAAAAACCCCTCATCCTTTGGCTTTAACAGGCAAGGCTGAAGTTACTGCATCTGGTTCAAGGAGCTGAGATCCTTTGGTGCTCTGGGAAAACCAGAGGCAAGAAGGGAGCTTCTCTAGAGCTGAGAAAGTAAATGAAACGGGGCTTTCAGAGTGGAGTGCAAAAACAGACTCAGCAAAGGAGAAAGGGAAAGAGGAGAAGGAATAAGAAGAGATGCTGGGCAGATGCTTGATGTTGGGAGGAGGAGGAGGAGGAGGAGGAGGAGGAGGAGGAGGAGGAGGAGGAGGAGGAGGAGGAGGAGGAGGAGGAGGAGGAGGAGGAGGAGGAGGAGGAGGAGGAGGAGGAGGAGGAGGAGGAGGAGGAGGAGGAGGAGGAGCGCAATAGCGGTGGAACCATCGAAACGAGGCAGAAGGGGGAGCCGTGTTGCCTTCTTTCCTAATGCTCTGTCCAAACCCCATGTGGGAGAGAGGGGCTCCTTAGCTTTGGGATGAATCTGAAAGGGAGGCAGAAAAAAAGGGCTTCCTTGTTTGTAGCAGGACTTTGCTGGGCCAGAAAAAGAGTGGCCTCTGAGCCAGAATCCCAAACAGGCCCATAGGACCCCTACATCAGCGAGACTGTGCTGCCATTCTCCCTGCCAGTTCTGCCTGCAGAGCCCCTGAGACTAGCAGTCTCCTTCCAGACAGAAACACCTGGATGCCTCTGAGAAACCCACAAGAAGTGGGATGGAGGAGGTGGGTCTGGAGGCAGCGGTTCATGGAGAAGGCATGGGCCTCCTCCACCTTTCGGAGGTCCCCGTCTGGTCATGGGAGGCCACAGATTGAAGAAGGCCAGGGCCCTCTGTGTCCTGCTGGTCACCTTCCAGAGGAACATGGCTGGACTCAGAGGGATGGGGCAAGAGAGGACTCCTGGGGCCAGATCCAGCTTCAGGCCTCGCCATCATCCTTGGGAGTAGCCAACTCCAGCTCCTGCCTGCTCTGTTGCCCTCTGGAAGGGCCCCTGACCCTGGGGTTATGGGAGCCCAGCTCTCCGGGTGGCAGGCTGTACTGTCGGGTTACTCACGGCTGGAGTTGGGGGTAGGGTTGTGGGTCAGCTGTAGGTCACAAGGTGGGAAGTACCTTTTTTACAACAGGAGGCTGCCCTATGTATGTGTGCGCACATTGCAGGCGATTGGAATCATCAATGCCGTCCTGGAGAAATATGGTACCTATGAGAGCTTTGAGGCGACCAATGGAGGGAAGCTGCTCAGCAAAAGCCAGATCTGGTCCATCATCAGGAAGTACATGCAGAAGGAAGGCTGCTCTGGAGAGGTGAGCTCAGAGCCACCCCGAGGCAAACTCGCGGCCTCCACGGGGCCTTTGGTGGTGCTGCCTGGGTGTTCCTGCGATGGCTGGGTCGCTCCCGTCCCAAGCGGTCCTTGCTTTCAGTGGAATTCTTCGTGAGCCGCGTACTCAGAGGTGTCCCTTCTGCAGGTCGTAGGAGTTTAGCTTCAGGTGGATTGGTGAGAGGGCCTCTCCTCTGTTCTACTCAGGCCTCTGCGGTGAGTGGGCTGCCTCTTCCAGGCAGGGTTCCCTGAGCTGCCCAGGCACCGGCTGCGGGCTTGCAGGGGACCAGACTGGCAGCCTGCATGTTGCTTCCTGGGCATCTGGTGAATTTCTGGGGATCTCAGCAAGCGTCCCACATGGAAAAGCCTTCATGCTCGCCAGCCAAAAGATCTGCCCACACATACATGGGGTGGCCTTGTGCTCATTCCTAATGGCTCTCTGGACAAACAGGAAGCTGGCAGATCTATCATGATAAGGCAAGGGAAGCTGGAAGGGACCCTGGTCTACCCTCCCACCCCCATCCACAGAAACACCTGAGGTGTCGAGCTTTAGCTTCCAAGGCCTGGGTTGGACTTCCCTCTTTAAATGGGGTGTTCGGGGCTTTCGAGGAGAGACTAGGGCATTTTTAGCTGCGTGCCTTTCTTGGCAGGTTGCATACGTGTGGGGCTTTCCTATTTTCCTCCAGCATCTCTTGGTACCCACCCTCAGTCCACCCCCTGTGTCTCTGGCCTTTTCGAGGGGTTTGGATTCATAGGAGGAGCCCTGACTTCCCTTCTGTTCCCCTGTCTGCCCCCACCCCCCACCCCCACATTAGGTGGTGGTTCAGCTCACAGAGGACCTGCTGTCCCAGGCAGTGATGATGGTGGAAAACAGCCGACCCACCTTAGCCATCAACCTCTCTGGAGCTCGTCAGAACTGGCTGGAAGGCATGTTGCGTCATGAAATAGGT